ATGCATGTATGTATATGTATATATATATATACATAAACACACATATATACACATACGCACACACACGCACACACACAATCCGAACTTTAGCCATGCGTCTTACCATCTAGGTTACTAGGCTACTTTGTGGAAGGTTCCCAAGTGACCTGACTTCAACCCCCAGGTAGGTTGCTTTCGGGACTCCTGTTGGCCTTGTCAAGGTTAGCAAGATAACGAGGCCGCGTTCGGAACCTTGCGAGACCTTATTTACCCTAATACACCCAGCTCTAAAGGAAACAGTCACTGTTTTCTTACACCAATGTCTGTATTTTGTACACAGCATAGGTTTTATAACTATTGATGTATGGATAACTTATCTACATGTGGCAGACACTGAAATAACCTTTGATAACAACAATGAAGGTCTATAGAATTATCTACCATTATCTTATGGCTGTCTGCAATTGCCACTGTTTACATACCAATGTTATTGTGACGTCATCTCGTCCTTCTCGCCTGGTTACAAAGGTGGGCGAGGTGGACGAGATGAACAGCTTGTCCCGGACGTCAAAATAGGGGCTCAGAACCGTCAAAACATTTTGTCCATTTTGTCCAACACATGCATTAAGGACATTGTCCTACAGAACGCATAGTTCCGCCATCAAGTGAACCAAGACCTGGTTCGGTTCACACCTCTGCTCTGGCACCGCTTTCCTTATTTATGAATGTGCTCCTGTACAATTTGTACTCTTATATCACAAATAAAGAATCAAAGCCAAATATCCCTTCACTAGTCTGATATGAGGCTTTCTAATATTAATCAGACCTCTTACATTTGTATATATATATTTTTTCTTTTGAGCAGGACGTTAACAAACACCCTGGGGTTCTCTTGAGCAAGGTTAGTACCCTATGAGCTCAAAGTGCCAGGATTACGGTGGAGCTGCTGGCAGCAGGGCTGTGGTTTCTGCAGAAGGCGTTTATCAGTGCAAATGGTAGTGCACGGCAGATGCGGAGTATGTCTGGCGGAAGTTTAATCCTACTGAACTAACGGCAGTAACTTTGGAACTGCGAGCAAAGAAAAACTTTGCTTATTTTATGGCTCCTGACCACATCCCAAATGTAAATCTACAAGATAACACTGAATACCGCATCGTCCGTCCCGCGGGTTACCAAGGGATGAGCAGGATTCAATTGGGTAGAGAGGTGCAGGACTGTTTCATTTGGAGGATATTTGTGTGGGATGCCACGGCTAATCAGGCAAGTTATCTTTCCGTTTCATGATGTGTATATATATATATATATATATATATATATATATATATATATATATATATATATATATATATATATTTATATATATATATATATATATACATTGTAATAGGTCTGAATTTTTATCGAGTCTCATATTAGATTATTGGTAATAATAACAGGCTTACATGGCTCTAACTCTATTGGTGTTATAAAAGCAAAACAGGAAAGTCACAGATAAACGAGACCAGGAACGGCACACGAGCGGTGGCGTGGCCAGACCAAGCCAAGGGAGGCCAGTTTGGAAGTGTTTACTTGATGGAAGAAGAACGCAGTTTACCGGGGTTTCCCTGATGGAAATCCAGTTCACATAACTACTAGGATGTAATAGGGTCGATAAGAGATCAAGGGTATAAATAGAGTCCACGTGCCTTGGGTGAATCCATAAGCGTTATGACCTCATATATACGCATATATTCAGCATATATACATATATATATATATATATATATATATATATATATATATATATATATATATATATATATATATATATATGCCTATGTATATTTACATTGTGTGTGTGAAAAGGCTCTTTACTGAATATGTTTATTCACAATTTCTATTTAGAAGAGGATGTTTCACCAGACCTAGTCAGTTCATTAATCACTCCAAATAAACAAACTACTCGAGCGCGGCTTCATATCTGATCTCTTTTGTTTTCAGATATGATCAATATATCCAAAAGAATAATTCTAAATAATGATCACTGTTCAATAAACAGAGCAAGAGCACTATTAGACCCAATAAACTGTTACAATATAATGAGAAAGGAATTCAGTATAGGCCTACCTTTCCAAATGATCGAAGCCGAATAATTTGTTCATAGAAGAAAAAGCGATCCTGCTAGCAGCTCAGCCCAACGCAGGTCATCAGTCTGCTAGTCCAGCATAAGCAAATGCTAAATCCACCCTGATGAGTATATAGTAATCAGTAAGGAAGAAACTAATGCATGCATATTAATAATAATATTGATGATGATGATAAATGATAAACAATAAATAAATATCAATTTCAACTTATTCTGTTATGCAAACATCCTGGTATGTGTTGGATGACAGTTAATCAGTAATTGTTACATCATTCTGTTCAGAATGTAATCCTGGTAATGAGTGGGTTAAAAAAAAACTATATGGTTCTGGAATTCTTTACATGGGGATGTTTGTGTGTTTATGCTACATTTGTCAGAAGAAAGTAAAGGCGTAGATGTTCATTCATTTTTATTAAAGCCAGACACCTTATTTACACAACCGAAGAAATACATGTCTTCCAGATCAGCTAAATGCTTGAGAGGTCTCGATTCAGACTTAGCAGGGTTATTTTAATGGATACAGTGTTCTTTTGTCCAATGCAGTTTTTGTTTATTACCGATACAAAAATGGCATTTGGAAATCTGCATCATGTAAGATGTATCAAAATAATTTTGTAATTATTCAGCACAATATGAAATCCAATGAATAGTACACTGTCCATGCATCGTCTCTTCATTTTGGAAAAGCAAAATTTAGACATCTTTAAGCTAATGTAACATATGTGGGTCAGTTGCATGGTCTACCACTCGATAGCTGGCTTGCACACCCAGTGATGATCGGGGTGGTGGTAACAGGTGTCAAAACAGCACTTCTCGGTAGCGCCACAGGAGTCATCGTTAATGCACGGTTTGGGTGGATTTCCCGTCGGACACTGCTTGGTCTCGGCGGGGCAGTATCCCGCATGCACTGTAGGTGGAGTGAATGTAAAGTTGGTATGAGTGATGTACATGCAAATGTGTTCAACGTGTGTGACAACTTATCAGTCAGTGTGTTTTCATTAAACAAAAACTTTGAAATGGGCAGAGAGTATGATTGTGGTAGACTTTAGCACAACGAGGTATTAAAAGAAGAACACTGGAAACCATAAGAGGAGAACAGTATAAGCTCTCGGGAAATAAGCAGAATGAGGTTCCTGGCAGTAGATATACCGTAAAGCAGACATGTATGAATGTAGTGATGAGACTTTGTGTTAAGAGGTAATAAACTTCCCTGTGCCAAGTTTGTGATATAGGTATCCCACATCTATTGTGCTGGAGACGTTGGCCAGTAATTTGGAAACTTCATAGCGACTTCTGCATATGTTACATTCTAGGGACATAATGCAAATTTCCGAATTTCCGAAAAGGCGCATGAAAAGTTTTTTTTTTTTTGAGACTTCTGCTGGATAAATAAGTACAGGTGTCACGGTCTGTGCATAATTCTTCTATCACGTCACAATCTGTTTTATTTGTTTTCGGTCTTTATTAAGATCGCATGCCCTATTAAGCAATGTATCTCTTTTAAAGGTTCATTCCTGTATTTTAGACTTGATATGAAGCTGTATTTTTCATAAACAATACACTGGGGAGAGTTATCTTATTACCTTTAATTGCCAGCAGACCGCTTAGGAGGGAGATAAGACTGGAGACTTCCGGTGGACAGGGTAGCTGTTGAGAATTGGTCTGTTTCAGTGCATTTCGATGGGTTGGACCAGATTCAAAAACAAACTGAAAACGCCTACAGCTCTATGGTCATTGATTTGAGTATCAATGATAAGTTACTATAGCTATATACAAAGAAACAGTAAACTTTAATTTGTGTTTTTTTATGAATAACTATTATGAATCCAAAAAGATTTAGAAATATTATTTTTACTATGTGGAGACAAAATGATTCCAGATTAGTTGACCAACATGCTACATATTTTGCCTTTTCTTAATTATCAGGAGTGCATAAGTGCTGTTAACTGATTTTTGCATAGGATCATGCTATTCTTCTGAAGGAAATATTAGTAAGATTTTATATTCTACAGATGCTTGCCTCCAGGTTCAGTATATACTCATGCTTTTGTAAGACCAATGGACTTCACAGAAAGGTATTTGAAGTCTTCAAAGATTTGTAGAAAAGCTGTCAACCAAAGACAGTTATGAATAAGAATACAACCAGTGTTAATAATTAAGAACAAAATTCTTACCGGAGCCCGAAGGTTGGCCAGAGGTTGATGAAGTAAACTGGGTGCTGCTCGAGCCAGGTCTTGAAGGGCTGGAGCCAAAGGCACCCGGTTGAGAACTACCGAAAGTGGAAGATCCAGAGCCAAAGCCAGTGGATCCCGGACCAGAGGAGGTTGGTCTAGAAGCACCAGCACTGTGGCTGCCAGGACCAGTACCACTAGCACCTAATTTAGAAGGACTTCCAGGACGTGAAGATCCAGACCCTGATGTAGGAGCACCAGGAGCGAACGAAGAGGGTGCAGAAAAGCCAGTGCGATGAGCGCCAAACCCAGGTTTATCGAAAGAGCTCTCTATAACATTAAGGGTGACACTGCCACTAGAGAAACCAGGGATCCTAGACCCAGACCCAGGTCCTTTGATTCCTCCTGAAGATCCAGGTCTTGAACTGCTTCCAGTTCCTGATTGGGAACTGGTAGCACTGAAAGTAGAACCAGATGAACCTGGACGAGAACCAGTACTGAAAGTAGAGCCAGGTGAACCTGGACGAGAACCACTAGTACTGAAACTAGAACCTGGACGTGAACCAGGAGCACCAAAAGTAGAAACAGATCCAGGTGAACCTGGCTTTGAACCAGAGCCAAAACTAGATGAAGATGAACTATATCCATAACTACTGCCTGTAGAACTAGAACCAGATGAACCTGGGCGAGAACCAGGAGCACCAAGGGTAGAACCAGATCCAGGTGAGCCTGGGCGAGAACCAGGAGCACCAAAAGTAGAACCAGACCCAGGTGAACCTGGACGAGAACCAGGAGCACCAAAAGTAGAACCAGACCCAGGTGACCCTGGGCGAGAACCAGGAGCACCAAAAGTAGAACCAGATCCAGGCGAACCTGGGCGAGAACCAGGAGCACCAAAAGTAGAACCAGATCCAGGCGAACCTGGGCGAGAACCAGGAGCACCCAAAGTAGAACCAGATCCAGGTGAACCTGGACGAGAACCAGGAGCACCTAGAGTAGAACCAGATCCAGGTGAACCTGGACGAGAACCAGGAGCACCTAAAGTAGAACCAGATCCAGGTGAACCTGGACGAGAACCAGGAGCACCTAAAGTAGAACCAGATCCAGGTGAACCTGGACGAGAACCAGGAGCACCAAAAGTAGAACCAGATCCAGGTGAACCTGGACGAGAACCAGGGGCCCCAAAAGTAGAACTAGATCCAGGTGAACCTGGACGAGAACCAGGAGCACCTAAAGTAGAACCAGATCCAGGTGAACCATACCCATATCCAGAGTCACCAGAACCACTACCAGGAGAACTTGCACCAGGAGCACCTAAAGTAGAACCGGATCCAGGTGAACCTGGGCGAGAACCAGGAGCACCAAAAGTAGAACCAGATCCAGGTGAACCTGGACGAGAACCAGGAGCACCAAAAGTAGAACCAGATCCAGGTGAACCTGGAGCACCAAAAGTAGAACCAGATCCAGGTGAACCTGGACGAGAACCAGGGGCACCAAAAGTAGAACCAGATCCAGGTGAACCTGGACGAGAACCAGGAGCACCTAGAGTAGAACCAGATCCAAGTGAACCTGGACGAGAACCAGGGGCACCTAAAGTAGAACCAGATCCAGGTGAACCTGGACGAGAACCAGGAGCACCTAAAGTAGAACCAGATCCAGGAGAACCTGGACGAGAACCAGGAGCACCTAAAGTAGAACCAGATCCAAGTGAACCTGGACGAGAACCAGGAGCACCTAAAGTAGAACCAGATCCAGGTGAACCATACCCATATCCAGAGTCACCAGAACCACTGCCAGCACCAGGAGCACCTAAAGTAGAACCAGACCCAGGTGAACCTGGACGAGAACCAGGAGCACCAAAAGTAGAACCAGATCCAGGTGAACCTGGACGAGAACCAGGAGCACCAAAAGTAGAACCAGATCCAGGTGAACCTGGACGAGAACCAGGAGCACCCAAAGTAGAACCAGATCCAGGTGAACCTGGACGAGAACCAGGAGCACCTAGAGTAGAACCAGATCCAGGTGAACCTGGACGAGAACCAGGAGCACCTAAAGTAGAACCAGATCCAGGTGAACCTGGACGAGAACCAGGAGCACCTAAAGTAGAACCAGATCCAGGTGAACCTGGACGAGAACCAGGAGCACCAAAAGTAGAACCAGATCCAGGTGAACCTGGACGAGAACCAGGAGCACCAAAAGTAGAACCAAATCCAGGTGAACCTGGGCGAGAACCAGGAGCACCGAGGGTAGAACCAGATCCAGGTGAACCATACCCATATCCAGAGTCACTAGAACCACTGCCAGTAGAACTTGCACCAGGAGCACCAAAAGTAGAACCAGATCCCGGTGAACCTGGACGAGAACCAGAAGCACCTAAAGTAGAACCGGATCCAGGTGAACCTGGACGAGAACCAAAAGTAGAACCAGACCCAGGTGAACCTGGGCGAGAACCAGGAGTACCAAAAGTAGAACCAAATCCAGGTGAACCTGGACGAGAACCAGGAGCACCAAAAGTAGAACCAGATCCAGGCGAACCTGGGCGAGAACCAGGAGCACCAAAAGTAGAACCAGATCCAGGTGAACCTGGACGAGAACCAGGAGCACCCAAAGTAGAACCAGATCCAGGTGAACCTGGACGAGAACCAGGAGCACCTAGAGTAGAACCAGATCCAGGTGAACCTGGACGAGAACCAGGAGCACCCAAAGTAGAACCAGATCCAGGTGAACCTGGACGAGAACCAGGAGCACCTAGAGTAGAACCAGATCCAGGTGAACCTGGACGAGAACCAGGAGCACCAAAAGTAGAACCAGATCCAGGTGAACCTGGGCGAGAACCAAAAGTAGAACCAGACCCAGGTGAACCTGGGCGAGAACCAGGAGCACCAAAAGTAGAACCGGATCCAGGTGAACCTGGCTTTGAACCAGAGCCAAAACTAGATGAAGATGAACCATATCCATAACTACTGCCTGTAGAACTAGAACCAGGAGAACCAGGAGCACCAAAAGTAGAACCAGATCCAGGTGAACCTGGACGAGAACCAGGAGCACCCAAAGTAGAACCAGATCCAGGTGAACCTGGACGAGAACCAGGAGCACCAAAAGTAGAACCAGATCCAGGTGAACCTGGACGAGAACCAGGAGCACCAAAAGTAGAACCAGATCCAGGTGAACCTGGACGAGAACCAGGAGCACCAAGAGTAGAACCAGATCCAGGTGAACCTGGGCGAGAACCAGGAGCACCAAAAGTAGAACCAGATCCAGGTGAACCTGGGCGAGAACCAGGAGCACCTAAAGTAGAACCAGACCCAGGTGAACCTGGACGAGAACCAGGAGCACCTAGAGTAGAACCAGATCCAGGTGAACCTGGACGAGAACCAGGAGCACCAAAAGTAGAACCAGATCCAGGTGAACCTGGGCGAGAACCAGGAGCACCAAAAGTAGAACCAGATCCAGGTGAACCTGGACGAGAACCAGGAGCACCTAAAGTAGAACCAGATCCAGGTGAACCTGGACGAGAACCAGGAGCACCTAAAGTAGAACCAGATCCAGGTGAACCATACCCATATCCAGACTCACCAGAACCACTGCCAGCACCAGGAGAACCTGGACGAGAACCAGGCGCACCAAAAGTAGAACCAGATCCAGGTGAACCTGGACGAGAACCAGGAGCACCAAAAGTAGAACCAGATCCAGGTGAACCTGGACGAGAACCAGGAGCACCAAGAGTAGAACCAGATCCAGGTGAACCTGGACGAGAACCAGGAGCACCAAGGGTAGAACCAGATCCAGGTGAACCTGGACGAGAACCAGGAGAACCAAAAGTAGAACCAGATCCAGGAGAACCTGGGCGAGAACCAGGAGCACCAAAAGTAGAACCAGATCCAGGTGAACCTGGACGAGAACCAGAACCTATCCCAAAGCTGGGCGAAGGTGAACCATACTCATATCCAGAGTCCCTAGAACCACTACCAGAAGAACCTGAACCAGGAGAACCTGGGCGAGAACCAGGAGCGCCAAAAGTAGAACCAGATCCAGGTGAACCTGGACGAGAACCAGGAGCGCCAAAAGTAGAACCAGATCCAGGAGAACCTGGGCGAGAACCAGGAGCGCCAAGAGTAGAACCAGACCCAGGTGAACCTGGACGAGAACCAGGAGCGCCAAAAGTAGAACCAGACCCAGATGAACCTGGGCGAGAACCAGGAGCGCCAAAAGTAGATCCAGATCCTGGTGAACCTGGGCGAGAACCAGGAGCACCTAAAGTAGAACCAGATCCAGGTGAACCTGGACGAGAACCAGGAGCACCAAAAGTAGAACCAGATCCAGGTGAACCTGGACGAGAACCAGGAGCACCAAAAGTAGAACCAGATCCAGGTGAACCTGGACGAGAACCAGGAGCACCAAGGGTAGAACCAGACCCAGGTGAACCAGGAGCACCAAGGGTAGAACCAGATCCAGGTGAACCTGGGCGAGAACTAGAACCTATCCCAAAGCTGGTTGAGGGTGAACTATACCCATATCCAGAGTCACCAGTAGAACTTGAACCAGGAGAACCGGGGCGAGAACCAGGAGCACCAAAAGTAGAACCAGATCCAGGTGAACCTGGACGAGAACCAGGAGCACCAAAAGTAGAACCAGATCCAGGTGAACCTGGACGAGAACCAGGAGCACCAAGGGTAGAACCAGATCCAGGTGAACCTGGGCGAGAACCAGGCGCACCAAAAGTAGAACCAGATCCAGGTGAACCTGGACGAGAACCAGGAGCACCAAAAGTAGAACCAGATCCAGGTGAACCTGGACGAGAACCAGGAGCGCTAAGGGTAGAACCAAATCCAGGTGAACCTGGACGAGAACCAGGAGCACCTAAAGTAGAACCAGATCCAGGTGAACCTGGACGAGAACCAGGAGCACCAAGGGTAGAACCAGACCCAGGTGAACCTGGGCGAGAACCAGGAGCGCCTAAAGTAGAACCAGATCCAGGTGAACCTGGACGAGAACCAGGAGCGCCTAAAGTAGAACCAGACCCAGGTGAACCTGGGCGAGAAGCACCGCTACTAAAAGGGGAGGAGGGAGACTGATAGCTATATCCAGAGGGACTTGATTCTGTCCCGGCTGAGCTGTGAGTGTTCGAGGAGACAGAGCTGCCCCCAACAGTCCCAGACGGAGATGTCAGAGGGCCCGAGGAACTTTGTGTATTTGCGGTGAAGGAACTTCCTCGAAAAGAGCTGGATGGACTTCCAGGCTTACCGGCTGTACTGTGGGTGTTTGACGTGAAGCTACTTCCTCCTACAGAACCAGATGGGGAAACTTGTGGTCCTGAAGTGATATGTGTGTTGGAAGAGAAACTACTTCCAGAGGAACTTGGTGAACCACAACACCCAGAGGCAGCCCCGTGAGCACCAGGGGAACTTGGGCGAGAACCAGTGGTACCAGGCGCTGAACCAGAGCCGAATTTCGAATCAGACCCAGATGTACCAGGTCGAGAAGCACCAGTACTGGAAGTGGAGGAACCAGGACCCGAAGAACTTTGAGTATTTGAGGTAAAGGAACTTCCACTAAAAGGACTGGATGGGCTCCTTGATGTACCAGCAGTGCTGTGGGTGCTGGATGTGAAGGTACTTCCTCCTACGGAACCAGAGGGAGAACCTGGTGATCCGGAAGTGATATGTGTGCTGGAGGAGAAAGAGCTTCCTGAGCCAAGTGAACCACAGCACCCAGAGGCAGACCCATGGCCACCATCTGATGAACCTGATGAACTGGAGAAGGAAGTTCTGTGGACGCTTCCCTTCGTTGAATGGCTGCTGCCTCCCGAGGAATATCTTGGAATAAAAGAGAGATGGCTGAATGAATGCTGTCACTTGGATAGCTAGATACAACTTTTGTTGGGAACATAATTATTTATGATTGATCATAACTGTAGAGCAAGTACTCACCCTGAGAAGGCTGAATGGGAAAGACTGGAGCCTCCGGGCGCGTTATTCCTTCCACCACCTGTAGAGGAAGTGACAGACGACCCCTGGAAACCATTTCCAGCCTTAGTGGCCCCAGGACCAAATCTGAAACCATTATAATATATATTTCTTTGTATACCACAGCCGTTTTTTATATAATTAATATAACTGCAGATAACTTTTCTGAGCATGATAGCCTACCCAGCAGAGAAGGAATGCGTGCTGGTCGAATATTTTACGCTCGTGGACGACCCGCTGTTCTTGACCGCTCCACCTCCTCCTCCAGAAGAGGCAAAGGCGGAACCATGGACGGATCCGCTCTTCTTGACGTCATCCTCGGACCCGAACCTGAGTATGTAAAGTAGATGTTACAAGAGAAACAAAGGCTGGGATATACTGCTGTGGTGATCGATTCGCGGATGGCACTGCATCGTGGCATAACCCCGTGACGTCGACTCATCCGAGGGAATGTGTCTTTCTCCAATGGTAGTAACATGATTTGTTTGGTGTTACTATGAGATGAAGGTAATTAAAGCGAAAGGAACCATTCTATTGTTTACATAAAATACAAATATAAGCTATTAGCTACCTAATGTTACGGGTGAGGTACCGAATGAGGCTGGCTCAAAACTGCCACTAGCCAGTTTTTGATTCTGCAGTTAATGGGTTAAGATAAATTACAGTAGCAGATTACTGGCATTTACAATACGCAAATATAGTGAGCAAACGCACACACCCAACCTGAGTATGTAAAGTAGATGTTACAAGAGAAACAAAGGCTGGGATATACTGCTGTGGTGATCGATTCGCGGATGGCACTGCATCGTGGCATAACCCCGTGACGTCGACTCATCCGAGGGAATGTGTCTTTCTCCAATGGTAGTAACATGATTTGTTTGGTGTTACTATGAGATGAAGGTAATTAAAGCGAAAGGAACCATTCTATTGTTTACATAAAATACAAATATAAGCTATTAGCTACCTAATGTTACGGGTGAGGTACCGAATGAGGCTGGCTCAAAACTGCCACTAGCCAGTTTTTGATTCTGCAGTTAATGGGTTAAGATAAATTACAGTAGCAGATTACTGGCATTTACAATACGCAAATATAGTGAGCAAACGCACACACACATACTTATATGCATTTATATACATGTGTGTGTGTGTGTGTGTGTGTGTGTGTGTGTGTGTGTGTGTGTGTGTGTGTGTGTGTGTGTGTGTGTGTGTGTGTGTGTGTGTGTGTGTGCGTGCGTGTGTGTATAGCTTACATATACATACATACACTCACACACACAAAAATGCGTGTGTATGTATATATGTATATTTATGTGTATATATATGTATATATATGTACACGTATATAGATAAATAGGTACTTGTACAAGTACACACGCACACACACACACACACACACACACTCACACTCACACACACACACACACACACACACACACACACACACACATATATATATATATATATATATATATATATATATATATATATATATATATATATATATATTCATATATATATATATATATATATATATATATATATATATATATTTATACATATATATATATATATATATATATATATATATATATATATATATATAGAGAGAGAGAGAGAGAGAGAGAGAGAGAGAGAGAGAGAGAGAGAGAGGGAGAGAGAGAGAGGGAGAGAGAGAAAGAGAGAGGATGGAGGAGAGGAGAGAGAGAAGGGGGAGGGAGAGGAAACAGCGAGAGAGAGAGAGAGATGTTTGTTTGTATCTATTTATTAATCATTATTTATATTTAAACACACACATGTGCACACGCATGCATGCACGCACGCACGCGCTCACACATTCACATGCAAACAAACAGACAGACACACACATGCGCACATACACACACACACACACACACACACATACACACACACACACCACACACACACACACACACACACACTACACACACACACATACACACTCACACACACACACACACACACACACACACACACACACACACACACACATACACACACACATACACACTCACACACCACACACACACACACACACACACACACACACATACACACTCACACACCTCACACACACACACACACACACACACACACACACACACATACACACACACACACACACACACACATATATATATATATATATATATATATATATATATATATATATATATATATATATATGTATGTATGTATGTATACATTTAAAGAGCGCGCGGAAGACTCACCCGGCGAAGG